CGAAGGCAAAACGACATCAGAATAAAAGAAGGCCAACAAAAACGACAAGAGAAGAAGAAGAAAAAAAAAGCACAATCTCTCTCCCTCACTCTCTCTCTCTCTCTCTCTCTCTCGACCAAATCGCATTTATGTAAAAACATGAATAAGCATTGTCATCGCATTGCACATAGTACAACATCTACGATTTATTTTCAGATGCTTAACGAGCATATCTCTCGCTCTGCTGTTGACCAATTGCATGCCATTCGCTCGCATTATCCTTCGAAATGCGGTGTATTTTTGCTAATTTCTCGTTCAGCAAATCTCTCGATTTTTTTTTTCGTTCCCAGAAAATAAAAGCGGAGAGAAAAAGGATACAGCTACAAAAGAATTGAACATTTAAAATGTATGGTTGTAAGGAGCGAAGTGCAAGCCATTGCTGCCGAGATATGCGGAATAATTATTGTATTGATGACATGGAATGGGTCATCACTGTATTTCTTTTCACTCGATGGTGTTCTCTTTCTCACTCTCCAATTGGCCACTTTTTTTCTACTCGCTCTCATTCTATTTCGCTCTTTTCGTGTTGATCTCGAAAATCTATTCTCAACTTTTTCTCCAATGCTCCCCGCCAGAAATTTTTTAAATGCAAGTTTTTCGTGTGTTTGGTTCGGGTTTTTTTTATTCTCTCTATTGGCGAACGAATATATTTTCATTCTATTTGCATTTCACTCCCACTGTCTCTCACTATAGCCGGGATATATGTCGTTGCTGCGCTTATGCATATACATTCTATAGGTGTACCGAAATGTGTGGCAGATGAAAGGACTGAGCATACTAAATGTGGATAAATCCAGTGAGAAATATTTCTTCGTTTGAAGGGAAAAAAACCCGGAGAACGGAGCGAATGGAAAAAAAGGATAAATGTGTCGTTGGACTCTCGACGACAACGATGAAGACTATACCACTACGCGTACATATCTATACTACAGATTCGGTAGCTGTTGCTGCTATGGTCCAAATGGGAAAAATGCTTTCCACGCGAGTATTGAAAAAATGTCGGAAAAGAAAATATGACAAGAGAAGAGAAAGAGAGAAAAAAAGCACACATTCAAATACCACTGGCCAAATGGAAAACAAATATGAAAAAAATACGTCAAGAGATTCCTAATATAATGTTAGACGATGTGCATTTGAATTGCGCGCGTCGATTCCCATTTATAGTAATGAAATCGTTTGGAAAAATGTTCACTCTCACATTCCAGCGGTCGAATTTTCGAGAGCGAAAGAGACTTCAACAATAGTCATGCATCAATTTAAAAGAAGCACGCAAAAACAGTCATAAGTCCTTTTTTGCCATTCGACCAATTGTCATGATGTTCGGATATGCTAATGCCGTAGAAAACATTTATAATTCATTAAAAAGGTACCTTCACAAGAATGACAAAAAGCTTGAGATTACTTATTTTTTGTGAGAAAAAAAAGTCGCAAAAAGAGAAGAAAGAGTCGCTTTAAATCGTAAAATTCGATAAAATTGATCAATGATCAATTAATAAGGTGTTGAACAAACTGTCTGACAAATGACTGACAAACGATCCCCCACATTCGTGTGAAATCAACGTTGTTGTTGCTGTTTTTTTTCATCGAACGCGCAACAAAGATAACAAATGAAGCGAATGACAAGCCCACAAACAATACTCTCCATGTAGTGTATGTATTATATTAACAAGGAAAATGCCGTTTAACAAACTGTAAAGCAACAACAGCAACAACAAAACCGCAGCGAACGTCGACGAATTACACGGGCAAGAAGCGCACAATGAGCGAGCCCCGAAAGATACGATATGTGTGTATGATGACTGCACGACATCACATCACAGCGAATAATATTTTCAATCAGCGTATATTTGCTGCATACGAATTACATGCCGAGCAAATAGTCAATACACAACGAATATAAAAAAAAAATCATATAAAACACCGAAAGCCGCACACCGAACACAATAAACAGGCGGAGCCAATAATTATTGTTAAAATGGGATAGCAATAGATATTCAGATTTATCAATACAATTACACAAAAAACTGGTTACAATACACTAGCACACGCGCGCATTGACGATACACGCAGCCAACAGGCAACAGCATAGCAAACATACAATACACCATCGAACCATCTGAGTCCAAGCGTCAATGTGAGCGGTGAACTCTCAAACATATACACGCACACACACACACATTCACATGCAAACAAACTCACTCGCTCGTTCGTTCATTTGCTCGCTAACTCGCTCGCTCGCGCACATACAATCACAACAAACCATGCCATTTATAGACTCTCACTCAGTCATCCAATAAATTTCATACAAATATATGTAGATGAAGAGAATTCGAAAAATCTCTTATACTTTTTCCACATTATTTGAGACTCATTGTGCACATTGCTCCTCGGCTCCGTGATGATGATGGTGGTGGTGGATGTATATGCTTGTCGAGTGGTTGAGTCAATGTTCTGACATCGAATTGAAAGTTCTTCTCGACATTTTCCACACAATATTATCGAAGGAAATCTACTCAATGCCGCATTTATACAATTTCTTTTTTCACTTTCGGCATAGCCGAGATCTGCGCATTTTATCCTTTGAAATAATCGAGAAGTTTTTAATTTTTTTCAATTTTATAAATTTTTTCGAATGATTTAATGTGTCAATTTTGAAATGTGAAAATTGGTTTAAAAAGATAACAAAAAGGATAGATGAAAAAATAGAATATATAAAACTGTCCTTTTAAAAATGATCACGCGAATAATTGAAACAATTGTAGCATAAAATGATCCAACGGAATGCCGTACGTATTGAATGAGCGGCTATGGCTTGAAAATGCTTTGCGCACGGCATCGGCTTATTCATGAGCACAGTTTAGGCGGTCTATATGAAAAACTCACTCAATGCATACTCAAAATCAACAAATGCGGATTGACGAATTGAGTGAAAATGTCGGGCGAGCGAGTGAAAAGCGGTTCGAGTGAATATCCGCATTCGTTTGAATCGGTGTGTACAATGTACATATATACCGAATACCCGTCCCATTTGTGAGCTATATTTCCAATATACACGCGTACTTATATTCTTATTAATGCGATTTCTTTCTATTTTCTACCGTATTGAACACTGCGCGAGTGTGTGCGTACAAGTTCGGCTTTTTTCCATTTCGTTCGTTCGGATGGATTTCGCATTGGTGTGTGCAATGCTGCTGCTGCTGTTGCTTATTTCTTCTTCGTTTTTTTATTATTATTATTATTACGTTCGTTTGTTTTCTATGTTTCGTTCGTTGGTCGTTCATTCTTCATTTATCCACTCTTGAGTGCCGATGTGCATGTGTTTGAATGTATGTGTGTATGTGTATATGATTGTCATTGTTGCTGCCGTTCTTTGCCATTGCCTGTCTTCCTCTGTTTCTTTTCTTTTCCCATCGTCATTGCCGTTGCCGTTGCTGCTGTCGCCGTTGTCGTCGTCGTCGTCTTTTTCTTCTTGTTGTACAGCATGAGAGAGCGAGTGTGTCGTGCGTTCGGCGATTTTTATGTATGGAAATTGATTCACTTTAAATGGGTATCAGCGTTCGGTTTGTGTGTGATTGTAGTTGTGCGTGTGTGTTCCCATCAAGAGCACACACCATTCACAGTCACATGCACACACACCGATGTCGTATGGGTGTATTGAATGGATATCGTTGTATCTTTGTCAGTTATTCGTACAAATCGTATTCAACGACAGATTCGAACTCAATGTACTCTTGTGTGTGATCAAATTTTACTACTGACACTGCTCTCTGCTACTTACCCGCCGCTCGCTCGGTTGCGCGCGCTCTCTCACTCTCTGCTATATGCTGCTGTGTTATTGCATGCTTACATATAGTATATACATATATTTGCCACCGATATATCGGTCGTTCGTTCTATTCTGTTTGGGTACTGTTCGTCTTTAGCTTGAATATTTATTATTGTTATTATGATTCCTGTTTGATTCGATTCCGACTCATTCTCTTGCTCTCTCGCTTGCTCTGCCTGTCTCCCGTTCTTGTACACCGTTCGCCTGTTTTTCCACATTAGAAGCGGCTTGCGTTATTGTGCATGTGGACTATGTGTATAGGCAACAGTGAATACAATGTTTTGAGTTCGATTTAGTCAACTGCTGGTTACATGCCAAGCAACATCGTATGTTGTACGGCCGTATACTTTTTTAATTCACTGATTTTGATTTCTGGCTATCCAGTATACATCGATATATACGCACGGAATATTCAATTCGGCTCAAATATAAAACAACAATAACAAGAGAAAACAAAAACAAAATTTTGTTTGAATCAAACAGCGAAGACAAGGAAGAAAAATTCCAAAAATAAACAAATTAACATTTGAAGTGAACGAGTAAAAAGAAAACAAATCAAATTGACAACAATCGAAAACCGCCAGCACAAAGTGATCGGTGTGTGAATGAACAAGTGAATGTCATCAGACGATTGCAACGGTTTTTTAGTCAAGTGACAACCACGATTAATGAAACGTTACAAATTATCTTGCTTTGATAGTGCATCCCCCAAATTAATTACGACTTCGTTTTTTGTTGGACATTAATTAACAAAAAGAAAAATTTCATCGAACTTTTTTTTAAAAATATATATTACTTTTGATTTGTGCTAATATTTTTTTAATGAAAAATTGTGGTTTCCGGAAATATATTTTTTTTGAAGTTTATGAATTTGGTGCAAATATAGTTTCAAACTTGTAACAATTAAACTGATCATTTGAACAAAGTGAAGTGAACAAGTGAATTAAAACTAAAGATCTTGAACACTTTTTTTCTTGATCATAAGCTATCAAAAGAAAACAATTTATTTGTTTATTTTCTTTGGTTTTTTTATGCGAATCGAAAAATTAAGAGCAATTTTGTGAAAAAAGGTGATTTTTTTCAATAATATTGAAATTTCACAGTTTTCTGACATTCAATTGAAGTGATTAAAAAAAAAAAAAAAGAAAATGATTTGAAAGTGGCAGAAAAAAAAAACAGAAAAATTCCATTTTTAAAAGCCACTGACTGAGAGTTCTGTGAACAATACGAGCAAAAAAAAATTATAAAACGAATTCCAGCAATTATGCATATTATGAAAAAAATTTAAAGCATTAAAAATTGTGACCGAAATAAAAGAAAAAAAAAGTAACGGCGCCAGCGAATAAAATAAATGAATAAACAAAATCACAAAGAATCGCTGTGAATCGATAAAATTAATTTTTGATTTGATTGGTAATATAATCACGGCATATTTAACGAACGCACCCTCTTCGGAGGGTTTTAGTGGGCTGCAAAGTCTGCAGAATTTGGTGGCATTGGAGAGCGTTGCCTCAAAACAAACGAGTCGAATGCAGCCAACAGTGCCACAAAGTGCAGGAGCAGCCGATATGGATTTGCCGGCTGTTCAGTCAATGGATTGGTTATTCAAAAAAGAACGCATTTACTTACTAGCACAATTTTGGCAACAGGTAATTATCAAAAAACAAAAACCATATTCAACATCTTCTCAACTTTCAATAAAAAATAAATAAAAATCCGAATCGCGAAACAAAACAAAATTTATTGGTGTGCATGTGAAATTATAGTGTAAAAGTCAAACGACTCTGAACTGAAAAAAAAATCGGAAGTGTGAAATGAAGTGTGTGTGAATGAACTGTGTTGCATCGTCAAAGTTCTCATCGAAGAAAAGATAAAAAATTTAATAAAATTTACAAAAGTAAAACAAAAACTTATCTCAAAAAAAAAAATTAAAAATGAAATTGGTTGAAATCGGCATTTTTCCCATATGATCAAAAATCCGCTTTCATTTTGGAAATTGACCTTGTTTTAACATTTTTCTCACCAAAGAATAAGATGGAAAAATAAAAAACAAAAAAACGAAAAGCCATTCTAACGCGAAAAATGACCATATGAACGCCATTCGATTGGCCATTTAAAGTGTGAGTGCAATGTTATTGGTGGAAAAATTGGTGAATATTTTCTTTGTTATTGTTTTTTTTTGTTCTTTCTCGTTGCGCGGCGTCATCAGACATTTTTGCCTCTCTCATTTGAGAAAAAAAGAGAGCTAATGGCTCGACGAATTGCGAATGTGAATCGTGGCATTTTCATAATTTGCGGCTATTATTCCATTGATTTCATTTCGACAGTGCAATAAATACGTATTTTTTTACATTGTGCGTTTTATTGAAAGCATTTGTTGTACGTTTTAATATATACTTTTTTTTTTCGTTTTTCGTTGGTTGATGTGCAGAATACAACCTATTAATATTCCGATGGGTGTATATCAGCAATAAATACACGAGAGAGTTTTAATTTTGCTGTTCATTTTCATGTGTTCATTCCACTTTGAAATTTTATTCGCTGATCGTATTTCTCTCTCGCTCGATTCTCGCAGAAAAAAAGGCCATTATGATTGAGTTGGGATATGTTCTTAATATTGCTGGTGTGTTCATCTTGTGTTTGGCGTTTATAATTTTTTACATGCATTCATCAGAATCAGTCAGGGCCAGCAGCGCATTGTGCAAGAGTGAGAGCAAAATTGTTGAATATATCGGGATTTGTTACAAGACAACCAAATCGAACCGAAGCCAACAGGCAATCGCATTTAGTGCGCGATGTTATTCCCTCTGTGGTGTGTGCTTGCTTTTTTTTGTATTTAATTCGCCTGTTCAGTTCAAAACGAATAAAATGAAATTAATAAATTGAACCTATCTCCGTTCACTGTCTTGTTTCGTATCTACTTGTTGTGGCCGTGTTGTTGTTGTCGTTCATCGTTTAACCGATGGGCTAAATCAACCCATACTCAATAAATAAATACGTGAAATAACGATTGCAATGTGTCTTACAAATCAACCTGAATATTATTTTTTGACTCTTTTTTTTCTGTTCCTCATTCGTTTTAATTCCTCATCATCGGCGTTATTCCCGATGTCTGAAATGAAAAATCGAGAGATGTTAAAAGAACAGGCGATTAAAAATATTTCTACCACAATGCCTCAAAATGATATGAAACGAAATCGAAAAATATCCGATGCTTCGTACACAGTTTTTTTTTTTCTTCATTTTTACTCGATCTCACTTGATCGCTCGTCGTATTTATAAAATATATGTATCTGTGCATGTGAGATTTTAGTGTATATTGATGAAATGTGCAACAAAATATACACCATTCAGCCGCCCTAACGAGAATTTGATTATTTATTAATGACGACTGAATTTTTCTTGATTAGAGACGAATGCATTTCAAATATACGAAACCGAATCCGAAGCGATAAGAGCTGCATTATTAAAATCTTGTATCCTTTTGAATTCACATGCATATGCACGATCCTGACCGCATCAATTCGACCGAATGATCCAAAATAAAAAAAAATTAATAATTATAATATTCGACATTGACTGACAACCACCGAATCGGTTCTCAAGAAAATATAAATCCACGATTTAAAAAGAGACATGAAACAAACCTAAAGGGAAATTTATTTCGATTTGTTTTTCATTTTGTTCGTCGTCTGATATGAATTTGGCAATCAATTTATGTATGAAAGGCGATTTGAACGACTGAGAAACAAAAAAATATATATTTATTTCTTGAGCCGCTCTGTCAATAGAGTGAAGCGTAATCTTGCGTGAAACCGATCGATGAAGACACACAAATGTGTAATAAAAAGTCACCGCACACACAAAACAATGAAAAATTACTGGACGATCATCATTCGAAAAGGTGTAATGCCCATTTCGATGAGCAGATGTATTTCGCTAGATACATTTCATTTAAATTCCTTTGGTCTTTTTCTCTTTCGCATTTCGCTTACTTTAATTAATTAATCGTACCTCAACTAATCATCAGTCACACTCACAGTTGAGTTTGGACGCTTTGGCGCTTAAAAGTATGTTGTCGGATGTATATATATATTTCTCTCTCTCTTCTTAAACATTGTTGTTGTCCATCCGACTTGTTTATGATGTGATCACATATATCGAAAAGCTCATATTCAAAAATATGTCGAGCATTTGCAATGTGTTTAAAAATACGAAATGAAAAAAAAATAACAACACTTCAGCTTGTTTGTTTGCATCCATCACAAATGTAACACATTCGGCCTGGTTCGTGCTCAGTTAGATAGCGCCTCGTTCAATCAGTCTGTAATGATCGAAATGATGTTAATTTCATGTGATGTGATAATTAATTGGCTTTTTTCTTCGATTCTTGATTATGATCCGCAGTTGTTTTGTTTGCTCTTCCATTTATTGAGCAATAAGAAAAACACCAAAAGTAAAATGCGGTACCAGTTTCTGTCACAGACACCACCAGTGTGTGATGCCACATTTCTTCTTTCTTTTTTTTTCATTTACACCGCTTGCTGAGTATGTCTGTGTTTGACAAACTGTCTTTTGATCGTTCATTGGCTTTGTGCCTCGTGAATTCCAATTGACGCTTTGTTAACAACTAATCACTTTTTCGGGAGGGCCGTTATTAAGAAACGAATTGGAAAGTTCATTCAATTTTCTGATTGACAGTCGAGAAAGAGATCAAGAGTGCGAGAGAAAATGAGCTCTAGCTGCATTTAAATAATACTCAATTTAATTTCACATTCGTTAAGATCGCAATTGATCGCGTTCTTTAATTTTGTTTCTAATTGGTTTTTAATTTGTGCATAAAATGCGATAAATTTCTGTAACAAATTTCAGCCATAAAATCGTGATTGCCCCGACGAGAATTTGTCCGTTTTTTGACAATGTGCTTTCTCTTTTGGCCATAGATTTAAATCAAAGTGTTCGTATTTTGATACTGTAACTCTTAAATCATGGTGCCATTTAGTGAAATATTACATCAATGCAAACGCCATAGGGATCTTATATTTCAACGGTTCGACAGTAATTTTTTTAAAAACACAAACATGAGTGTGGCGTTATTTTTCGAAAATCCAATGTGATACCAAATGTGCGAAGTAATAAAATCAAGGGATTTTCCTAGAATGTAACGAAATCTTTGATACTTTTCGAATCAAATGACATTCATTAAATGTTATAAATATTCACGCACAAGAAAAATATGTCGTCAGCAAATGAGAAAAAGGCAAATAAATACACACATATTATGCCACATTAATCGAATTGAAATGAATTGAGTAATTTCATTGAAAGTCGCGCGTCTCAGGTTTTGTCTAACACATCGTATTTCAATCATTTGTATAGTTGATATGCTTGTAATGAAATGAACACACATACACCCATATTTATCGCTCCTTTTCTTGTTCACGCTGTGGTTTTTTTTTTGTGTCCCTTCAAGTCTAATGAATTAACTCAATGCGCAAATAATAAAAGTAAGCATTTGCTGCTTATGTTCATTCTCTCCATTCACCTCGTTTAATTTCTCATTCTAATGTGCACAAATTTCATAACAAAACGGCTAGCTAATTCCTTTTAAATTCCAGCCGCTTGTTGTTGTTTGTTTTTTCGTTGCAAACATCAAATCTCAATTAAGTGTTTTGTATGTTTTCACATGCATTTCTATCATTTTTATCATTGCAATTTAGCCGAAACGCCAAAGTCAGTTAGTCGAAAAAAATATTCACACATTTTCAATTGTGTGAGTCAAATGTTTGGCGTGTCTTTACCGCTGCAATGTTGTTGTAAATTTTTTTCGTGTGTTATGTTATGTTCAATTGGTTTGTTGTTCATGTTTCGGAGTCATTTTTTTTATGCTCAAACACCGTGATGATTCTTCACAATGTTGCAAATGTGATGTTATGATTTGCCGCAGCGTAAAAACACACACATCTTTGGATGAAAGCAAACGAAAAAACAAATATGTGTGCAAAGAAATTAGAAAAAGATGTGCGCTTGAAATTTACACGGAACAGAAAAGGTCAGAATATTACTTCATTGCAAATGTTTGTATGAACAATTTTTCATGTGCGAAAACAATTATTTGGGCTTTTCAAGCTTTGATACAATTTCATCAGTTTTCATCTCGCTGGAACGTGAAATTGAAAACAGCATGCCGGTGTTCGGCAGCTAAAAGCTGTGCGAAAGAGCGTACTGCAATAAAAAAAAGAACTAGAGTAACGCCGCTCGTTGCGGTGGTGTTGCTTACTCGTTCGACTAATTTCGTGGTATTATGCATACCTAGACGAGGGCTATAGAAAAACAAATGCAACAGAGCAAAGTGAAGAGCAAGAGAAACAAAATTAACCAAACTACACCTTTCGATCAGGCATCAGTTTTCTGTGAAATCGGACCAGTACTCCCTCTCTTTCTCTGTTTCGCTCTTTACATTTCATCGTGATTCGATTCTGTGAAAATCGTAATAGGCAGTATTAACATTTGTTTCACCGTATGCTCGCTCGATTTCGATGATTACAGCACATTTCTGCGGTTTCTTAGCGATAAACCGAAACGCCTTACTTTATACCTCTGGATAGATTCAGTTACACACGCTCATTGTTTTTTTCTTTCTTGTTCA